ACAAAAGAACCAAAAGCAGCGGCACAGCCCCAAATTGGACACGCATTCAAGAGTCGGCATCCGACTTCTCTGCAGTGTCGTCCCCACCATCCATCACCACAGTAGCCGACTTCTCCCCATCGCCGTCCTTATCGACAAGAGGCTCGGTGCCCTGCGGCTCATCCCCCACCTCGACTGCCTCTTCCCGACTGGCCCCACTTGCCCCGACTAATTCGGTCGGACCGGACAAGGGGGTGGGAGGAACCTCGAGTTGCGTGCCTAGGCCGGCCTTGCGAATGGCCCAGGCCTCGAGTCCCGACCACCAGGGGTAGTCGTCGGGGAGAGAGTCGTCTCCCGAATAGCCCTCAGGGAAGGGAAGCGTCTCCTTAACCGTCTCGCGGTCGAGCTTCCCCTCGAATTCAGAACCCGCCACCACCGCCTCCCACGCGGCAAATGTATGCTCAAAATACTGAAGGGTGGCGGGACAGAGCCTGTCGAGAAAGGCAGGAGAGTTGCAGAAGGCCTTGACGAGCTCTTGACGGTAGGTTTCGAGGAAGACGGCGCCCATCGGGGACTTCAAAAACGTCCTTCGCCCCGCCTCGACACCATTCTCCCTCTCGACTACGACCTCGTCACGAGCCTTGTCGAGATCGGCCTTAAGCTTATCATTCAAATGGCGGAACACTGCCTTGTCAGCCTTCAGTTTGTCGACAAGAGCCCTCGAGGCCTCTAGATCCTCCTTTAGCGCCTCGATTTCTTGGCGCTGAGCTTCACACTTGTCCTCGAGAGACTTAGTGGAGGCAAGGGGAGCCTTGCACGTCTCCTCGAAGCAAGGGAGCGCTGCGGCCAGAAACTGCCAACAAAAGCAAAAACATTGAAGTTAGCAAAATTTGAAATTAAAGAAAAACACGACGATAAGAGTTTCAAAATAAGAAAATTACTCGAGAGAGGCATAGAACGGCGTAGTTCGAGCGCTCGTAAAGAGTCCCCTCGACACGCTCCTTGTCGACGTCGGGGATAGTCGAATGGAGGTACTGAGCCACCTGATAAGGCTCAGGATGGTTCCAAAGCCGAGACGGCATCTTGACCGTCACATCTTGGACGGTAATGGGGGTCTTGGCGGGCTTCTCAACCGCCTTCCCTTTCCCCTTCTCGACCTTTTGGCGTTTTAGGTCGTCTGGGATCAGGACGACGGCCCGGTCGTCTTGGGCCCGCTTGCGGGAGCTCGAGCCCGATGGCTTGTTCTGGGTGGTGCCAGGGTTCTCGACCCTGGACTTCAGTGCAGCAGTCGTCTCGGCTGCCGCACCAGCTGGGCGCGAAGGGCGAGTAGGAGGAGCAGAACCGCCAGACGGCTGGCCAGACGACTGGCCCTTCTTGAGCTCGAAGCGTTTTAGAGCTTTAACTGAAATAATAGAAGAAAAGTTGGTTAATGAAGAACACTTAGTAACCATGATTCGAATGATCGAAATTTACAAAGCAGTTACACAAATACATATATCCAAAAGGCTTACGGGGGTCATCGAGACGAGGAAGATCCTCATAAATGACGATTCGCGCGTGATTGACTAAACCACGGTCTTTGATTAACTGACGAGCACTGTAAGTGTGCTTATTCAGCTCGGACAACAGTTGGGCAAACTCGTCAGAGCGAGGCCTTTTATTCTGTTTCACCTTCGAAGTAATCCAAGTATTTACATAAGGGTACATGCCCGAAGCAGGTCGAATGAAAACAAACTTCGACTTCCACTCGGTGACGTTCGACGAAAGATCGTCGAGAAAGGTAACACCAGCACGACGACCCAAACAGTGGGCGCCCTTGGAAAGCCGGTAACCATAACAATAAAAGAAAAAGTCGGGAGAAAAGAAGTTGAGTTTTATACGAGAAACGACTATGAAGGCTATCATAATGCGAATGGCGTTAGGAGAAAATTGATTTATGGGTATATTGTACAGATTGCTTATTAGTATGAGCTCGTCTTGAATAGGAAAACGAAGGCCAAAGACGATTTGGTCTACGAAGAACGTATGACAGCCGGGGGGAGGATGGGCGAAATCGTCGTTAGGACCGGGGGCGACTAACTCCCAATCGGAGGGAAGCCCACTGAACTTTCTGAAGCCCTCGACTTCGGCTGCAGAGGCATAACAAAATGGATTTAGAACAGCTAACCTAGCCAAGGGACAAGCTATCGATACAACATTTTGAAAGTCAAGAAGAGGAGCAATTATTGGTACAGATACAGGGCTCGTTCTATATACAGGGATATCTAAAAACCTAAGAGGAATACCTCGAGGAATGATATCGAGACGAGGAAGATTTCCTCGAGGAGGGCTTTTCACAACATCGACTAAGCCGCCCTCCAAGAGCGCTTGGTCGTGCAGCGCCCAGTCGACAGAAGAAGCAGTGGCGAGAGGAGGAGAAGAATGGGGAGGCGGTGAAACCATCCTATAGCCGGTTACCTCAACTGAATCAGAGCTAGAACCCTCGTCGACATGGTGAATAAGTTATCTCGCTAAGTGTCAAACAAATTATGTAATAGAAATGCGAAGATAATTGATAAAGTATGAAAGAGACAAGCAAATGTGAAATAATAATGCGATAACCTAAATTATACAACAGACATGCGAAGTTAATTGAGCAAGTGCAAAATAATAATACGTTAAACTATGCGAGATAATTTAACAAGTATGATCTAATTATATGATAAAATATGCGACAAATAGACAAAGTTAATTAACTAAGTGCGTAAAAATTATGCAATAAACTATGCGCCATACATGCGACGAATATGAATAGAATTGTGTGAACAATTCGGTCAATCGCGTATATGTCGCATTGTAGGCACAGATTTCTTCTTGCACCTGTTTTTACATTTTTCCAATTTCTCCTCAATTTTCAACTTCATGTAAGCCCAAAAGGTCGTTCTCTCGAGAACATTGTACTACAACCACGTGAATGAGGTTTTCAACATCATGAATCTATTGAAACTAAAGTTTCTAAAAAAGGAAGTTCCTAAAGCAATGAGACAGAGGTTCGTGGGTCGAGTCGAGATAAAAAAACGAGGAACCTGATGAAAAACGACATGGGCGACGACTTGTATGAACTGATCGAGCATGCGCTAATCAAATATGAGAACCATAAAACTAGTAAATGAACATGTGATCAAGATGCAGAGGTACGCGATATTAACTATGAAAATTATAAAATACATTCATTTTTTTCTTTGTTATGCATAGTGATAGGGATGTGGATGAAATTTATTGGACTTCATTCATGTTGCATTTGTACTTGGTGTGCAAACGATCTCAACCGGGTGGAACGACCATGGATCCGCTCACGTTCGGTTCAAAGACCTGCAAAATGGATAGAGAGGTGCCCCGACGTTAGCATTCCGACGACGAAGTCAGGCCACAGTGATGAAGACGATGAATATTATATATATAAGCTTGTAAGTATATTAGAGTGTGTAGAGTATGGATTACCATACCTCGCCCTTTTATATAGGGGTGTTATCTTGTTTCCCAGATGTGCTGCCCGAGCTGTCTGTTCGTACTGCCCAGGTGCCGGAAATGCCCAATCCTGTTAGGCTCCATGGTCCAATCCAATCCATGTGTGATTCTTATCCTAATGATATTCTTTCTTATTCATTGGTCTATCTTAATAGACGGTCTAATCATACGGCCGGCTCGACCTTCTTTAAGCTAGATTATCTTTTCGTTACTCGTGTTGTCCTTCAGGTCGATGTATCAACCTGCATACCCCTAGGTCGAGTTTTTACCAAGATATTCGAGGTCCTAGCTCGACCTGTAGGCGGGTCTCCTTGTCAGCGAAGTCCATCAACCTGGTGTCTTCGACCTCTTGTATCTTCGACCTTTAAACAACCTGTCGTTTTACCTAGTTTGGTTAAACCACTCCTCGCGTCAAGTCGGCCTAGTATAGTATTGTTAGAGTAGTATACCCTGCGTTCCAATTGGATTGGATGTATTCTACTTATATATACAATCTATTGGACTTATATTAATTAAAAGGCATTACTTTATCTTAAGAGTAAGCATTTATCCTATATTTGCAATTAAAATAAAATCCCTAGATCACATATAGCTATAAGATATGGTTGCGCATAGAGATGGTAATCATGGAACATATCTTAAAAAGTTGTGATCTTAAATAAAGTTCCAAGTCGATGGATGTTTCGAAAAGGGATATCGAATAATCCATAAAAGACTTGTACATAGTATGTATGCTTGTTTGACAAGAATGTTGCATTCCATCAACATTAGCGTGGGACGCAAGTACATATATGTGGGTGCTTGTTAGAGAACAAATTCACTGAACATGACCGTATGAAAATTCTTAATGAAGAATTATTTTAAATAATTATTCTGTCGAATAAGAATTTTCATGTTACAATAGTACATGACTAATCCTTAGACTTGAGGCACAATGGCAACTTTGTGCATATTACATTTTACTTTGATTTATCCTTTTGGTTGCTAGCACAATCGTATAAAGGGATATTTTGGGTATTATGTTAATATGTATGGAAGTTTGTTAGTGGCCAACAAAGGATTCGACACGTATGAAAATACGAGAATTTCCTATGTATTTCATAGTTAGTAATTCAAAGTCCTTGGCCAAGGCAGGATGAATAGCGATTCATACATGAATTACTAAATATGAAATAGAATCATAGTTATTAAATCAATTTGGGTTTCGACTAAAATCATACCCAAGATTTAATCGGGAAATTAGATGTCGAAAGGATTTTACATGTATGGACTTGTAATTGAAATAGGTTTACTCGCTATTCACTTAATACTAGATTCAGCTACTTGCTAGATGTTCCCATGATATGTGGGTTCTTGAATTAAAGAGTTAAAGATTTTTATCTTCGCTTTGCCTCTTCTGCGATTTTCCCCAAATTGAACAGTAAAACCTAGCCATCTTCGCTTTGCCTCTTCCCGACGGGAAGCTCTGCTCACCTGCGCGGCGGTCTCCGCTAGTCAGGGCCTCCGGCCCCTCGCTATGGTCTGGATCTCGCGATGGTTTGGAGCAACGCCGGTGGGTTCTTCTGGCGGAACTTCGACTCCGAGATCTGATTCGCGGCGGCGGGGCTGGATGGCGGTCTCGGTCTTCTGCCGGTCGGAAGCTGAAGTCTGAGGTAAGTTCCCGTCTCTATCCCCCTTGTTTTGCTGCCCTGGGGCTGGTCAGCGCGACCATTCGGACCTAGATTTCCGTTGCCGGTGGCGGGTCCTCCTGTTGCCGGCGGTGACGTTCGCGGCTTGGTCGTCGGGACTCCGATCATTGCTGCACCTCCTGTGTCGTCCTCGGCTCTGTTTGGGGAGGATCCTTTGTGGGGTGGTTCAGTGGGCGGGGCAAGGCTCAGCCGGATTACTGCGATTTCGCGGTGGCGGCCGGAGTGGTGGCTCGGTTCTGTCCCTTTTCTCCCCTGCACTCTGGTGTTGGGTCAGGGGAGGCCGGTGTTTCAGCCTTTCGGCTAGTGGTGTTAGCCGAGGCTGGGCAGTGGTGTGTCGCGGGCATTCTGGGTTTTCTGGTGATTGAGAGGCGGACTGAACTGTTATTGATGGTTGCCTTGTGCTGCGGGTCGGAGGGGTGATGTGGGTCTGGGGCTAACCTCCATTGACTGGTTCGTGAGTACCTACCTGGGAGAGCTTTGTGGCTGGAGGAGTACGATCTTGTTAGGCGTTTTCGGCAGTTTCAGGTCTCGGTGCTTGTTCGGTCTGCTCTTCCTTTGGGTGGGAGCTCTCGGTTTCGGTGGCGGGGTTGATGTTGAGCTTTATCCTGTTGTGGAGGAGGGCTCCTTCTAGATGTTAATATTTGTTGTATTGTGTATTAGTTGTCGTTGTGTGTTCGATTTTGTTTGGGAGATGAATGCAGGCTAGGCATTGTGCAGTGGCTCTGTTTTTCATTTTCTTTTTTTAGTTGTTGGAGTTCTCTAGGCCGCCATGTGCGTGTCCTCTCAGTTTGCTATTTCTGTTGTTTATTAGGAGTGTTTTTGGTTTGGGCTGTTGGCCCCTGTCTTATTACCCTGTTGGGGTCTTAGCTATTACCCTGTTGGGGTCTTGTATTTTGTAACTTTTGCACTTTTGTGCTCATTTATATTACCTCTATCGTTTCGGGAAAAAAAAAAGAATTAAAGAGTTAATTCATGAATAAGAGTTAATTTGATTAACTCAAATTACAAAGAGTTGTAAACCCACTACTAAGTATTAATTGTGAACCTAAAAGGTCACACCAATTTTTGAATGAAGGTGAAAATCAAATAGTAATTCTAAAGAGTTAGAATTAAATTGACAAATCTAATTTGATTAGATGTCAACTAAAGGAATATATTAAATTAATCAATTGGATTGATTAATTGAATTTTGGATATTAATTTAGTAATTAATGGAATTACTAATTAATAGTTGGAATTTAAAATTGGATTTTAAATTTCAATTCCAAATAATAATATTATTATTAAATGAGGAAATTGAATGAAATGATTATAATAATAAAGTCTTGAAAATTGTTTTCAAGAACTTATTATTTTATTATTTTATCTTTAATTTAATTAAAGATTAAAATAATGAGAAGACAAAATAATGGAGGTGGATGGTGGTTATGAACCACTTCACTTTATTTATTAAAAGTCAATATTTGGTATGAATTTTAAATAAAATCTGATTTTATTTATGAAATAAAATATTACCAATATTGATTAATTTATGCTAAAAAGTTTAGTATAAATAGATGCAAAATGTTTGCACAAATTGAAGTGAAGTCTTTGATCTAATTTTTCAAGAGTTGAAAAAGAGAGAAAAGAAGAAGTGTTCTTCATATTCCAAAACAAGAAAAGTTCTTGTAAAATTTCCTTAAAAATATATTTCATACTATTGAGGAAAACCGATTAGTTTCTACTAGCGAAGGAACTAGTTCGGAACCGGATTTCGAAAGGTGGATACATTTAGAGGGAAGACACTTGGATTCCTGAGCGAGTAACCAAAAGGTGTTGCTGTTACAAACCGGGAATCGATTCCCTCATTCATCGACAATTTTGAAGGAGTTCAAGACTAAGGTAAACTTAGAATTTACTTATAACAAATCAAAATATGTATTATTACATGTTTTTAAAGATGACGATCTGTTAATTTGCCATATGTATGTACGAGTAAAGTATTTAAGTGTTAAATACTTGTTTTGAAAAATTTTAAATTCCGCTGCATATAGCTCGTACGGTACAGGCGAACCCAACAAGTATCACATGTCATCTAGTCCCCCCCTCCCCCTCTCCCCACTCTGGTCGAGTTAGGATAACTCGATCTAAGAGTAACTTCGGTTGTCTTTGGTCCCCGCTTATTGAGCTTGTAACTTATCTAATCGACCTCCTCACTCACGTTCTTTTTATTTAATCAGGACAATCTTCTCGACCTGCAGTTGTCCTTCACGAGTTCAAAATTTGAATTTGAAAATTATATCAGGTTAACCTGACGTCCCTTCAATCACCACAACGTTCCTCAATGTTTTGATCATGTCCGTTCGATATATCTTTAATCCAACGGTCCTTAGCAACTAGTCTTATTAACTCCCCTTTTCAATCTCACCCGCTCATTTCGACTTTAATCAAATGGTTATACTCGACCACCCTTTTACCTTCTCAACTTCAAATATGGGTTGTCCATATCGACCTGCTATTGATGGACAGATCAGATCAACGGTTGAAATAAAAGTATTGAGGATAAGAAGATGAAACGAGGGAGAAATACTGCGAAAAAGGAGATTTATTACGTAATTACGAGGTCGGCCTCTGTGAGTGAGGACGGTGTTTTCCTTACAGTTTGAATTCTTACAGGAAATTATTACAAGTTCTAGAGAGAGAGAAGTAGAGTTCAACAACCCCAAAATAAATGTGGGAGTCTCCTATTTATAGTGGTATTGAATGTGGCACTATTATTCCACTGTTCATGCTACAACAACGTCCAGTGTATCTGAGAGACCGGTCGGCGCCCGCCTGAGTGATTGGGAGTAATTTAGGGGTTTTCCAATCATTACCTGCTGAGTATTTAATGCTGTTATGGGTTGCATTAAATACAGTCGGGCCTTTAGGCCGGGTTTGACGTCATAGGCCCGCGGGCTAGCCTGTAGACATCTCATCGACAATCATTGGCTGACAAGTGGCCTTATAATATTGTTTCCTGGGTCCTCTATTCCCGTGAAGGCCAACTTGACGAGATTCCTAGATCGGACTTCAGCAGTCAGTCCATCCTCTGGTCCTCCGGATCCTATTTCTCTATTCGGCACTTGACCGGGTCAACTTCGCAGCGAGGTGGCCGGAGTGCCAACCTCGGGAATGGTTCGACTCGCCACCCTCGTCGACTTTGATCTTTTTCCAAATCGACATTTATGAGG